AAACACCCAATCAAAAAAATGGGCATTTGAAATGAACAGGTATTTCTCAAAGAAAGTACGAAGTACATGAAAAAAAATCTTCAGTATCTTTGGCCATTAGGGAAATATAAGTCAAAACACGAATGATATTCTGTCTTACTCCAGTTAAGAACTCAAGAAACAACAAATGCTGGTGAGGATTTGGGAGGAAAGGAACCCTTTTATACTGTTGGGAGAATGTAAACTAGTACAACCAGTGAAGTAATCAGTATGGAGACTCCTCAAAAACTAAAAACAGAAATTCCCTGCTTGTTTGGGCTACTCCCTGAAAGAGACAAAGTCATCATCTTATAGTATTACATGCATAGGCATATTTAAGGCAGCAAAATTCACAACTGCTGAACTCTGGAAAGCAACATCAATAGATGAATGAATAAAGAACATGTGGTATATATACACAAGGGAGAGTTACTCAGTCATTTAAAAAGACACTTTGAGTTATTTGTAAGAAAATGGGTATCGTGGCAAACATCTGTAATCCCAGCACCTGGGGGACTGACGCAAGAGGATTGCCACCAGTTTCAGGCCAGCCTGGGCTACACAGAGAGTTCAAAGCCAGCCTGCACTATATAGTAATCCCCTGCTTCAAAACAAACAAACAGGTCCCGAGACTATAATGGTAGTGAAATAAGTCAGACACAGAAGGATAAATATTCCATAGGATCATTTACCTGAGAAACTCAAAATATAAATAAATTAAAGAAAAAACTAAAGAAGAGACTGGAGGATACAGGAAGACAGATTTTTTTTTTTGGAGTTGGGGAAAAGGACCTGGAAAGGGGGAGAGGAAAGAAAAAAAGGATATACATATCCCAAAGCAAATGGAATCATGATACATTACAAATACATACTAATAAAAAATAAATGCTTAAAAACCCCAATGTTTAAATAAAAAGGAACAAAGACGAGAAAATAAAACTAAAAGTGTAACAACTATTATATGAAACTAGACTCTTTTTTCTTTAAATACTTTTATTGTCTCACAAAGTTTTACAGAAAATGAACAATTGTGTAACTCTTATATGAACCAGAAATTGTTACCAGGCAAGTAATCAAAGTTAAAAAGTCAAAATACAAAGGAAAATGATACACGGCAAGAGAAGACACCTTAATTCTTTAAAAGAGTTTAATACTGTTGGTGATCACGCTGGTATTGTTTTATGGTTCCCCCAGCCCTGGAAACTGGTTTCTACTTAAAATGGAATAGAGTCAATAGATTTTATTATGAACAGAATGTACGTTTTGTTTTTTTTAACTCTGGATCATTAATTTAACCTAATTTTTTTTCCAAGGTGAATGAGATTCCACACCCTGTAAAGACAACTCTTAATGATTTGAGAAAATAATACTGATTTAAATTTTGAAATCAACATGAAATAATGCAACAACATTACAATTCAAAAAGCATTTACTGAGACTCTTCTAACTAGAATCTAAATGAAGAGAGAACAGAATAAGTAGGCTGATTTCTTGGCTGGTGGCCTTCATGTATTTACTGAAAACATCTTAAAAGTGAGATGGGAAGCTTTATATGAGTGCATGAATACCTCCTATTAATTTAAAACAGAGATTTACACAAAATCTTTGCTTAAGCAAGTGTTCCCCCTAAAATTTATTAAGTATTCAAATCTTCTAACTTGTGTCTCTTAAGATGGATACAGATATTATACATAATGAGAAAGAAAGGAAAAAAGGAAACCATTCTAAAGCTATATGTCAAAGTAAAAATTATAATTTCAAACCATGACCACTTGGAATATACAATTCAGATATACTTAATCCACAGAGTGGACATTTCTAAACCGTGTTTCTTTCAGGAATATCCTTTCCAATGTCACAGTATATTACAAAATTCTAAGTTTAGACTTTTGTGACACACATTACCATTTCATACTTGTATAAAATATTTTCATCAGTTGCAATTCTAAAACAAATAGTAATGTTTTTAACTAGAACACCTGGCACTAGGAAAAAATTATAAAATTTGATGGTATTTGTCAAAAAAATGTAATATGGAGTCATATAAGTTCAATGTCTTTTCATTTTACCTTTCAAAGTTCAGAAAGAAATGGATTCATCACTTTACTGAATAACTGTAGCTAATAAGCATCCCTGTTGGTGTATTCTTACTTTTTTTCTGGTTTAAAAGCCAGACGCTAATTTTATAAAATATACCAGCAAATAACAATGAAATAAATGTATCAGTATACATGTCAAGGCAAAAGGTTTACCACCTTCATCTTTAATAATTTTTTTTTTATTTTAAAGAAAAAGTAAAAATTTAAGACAATATTAAAACCTAGCTTCTTAGAACAATTTCATTAACTCAGCAAAAAGCTTCAATTCATGCAGGATAATTTTTATTTTGTAACTAAGAGTTCAAATTCAAACTCTGGATTCTGCCACAACATATTTACTTTAACTTCATGTCTTCGTTACTTTTCTTTCATTGCTGGGACAAAATACCTGACGCCCAAAATTAAGGAAGGAAACGTTTATTTCGCTTACAGTTTGTGGAGTTTTCAGTCCATACTTGGCAGGTTGCAAGGCAGAGTGGCACACGACAGAGGGCTACAGCTCATGGCGGCAGAACACAGCAAAAGCAACAAGCACTAAAAGGGAGGAAAGGCCCCAAGCAGCCTCTTCCTCTCCCTTATGTATGCAAACTATCCACCCCAGGGCGGGTGTAGCTCTCACACCCCTAATCAATCAAACTCTAAAAGCCTGCCCCATGACCGCATGAGGCTTTGGAGGGACACCCAGACACAAACCATAACACTTCAGTAAATTTGTTTCCTCATCCTTTAAATGGTGATAATATATACATTTTGGGGCTCCAGGAAAGATTAGGTAACAGATATGTAATCTACCCCCATGCTAACAGACAAAAGGTACTTCAAACACATACACTATGTATCTAATTATCTGCAAAACTCCTCTGCCTTTATCATATGCTTCTGTATCAGTACTCTTAAGTCATGAGAAGATTTATAAATTTTGTTTAATTGTTAACAAGACATTTATTTTGTTCCCTTCACAGGAAGTCATTTGGTAAAGATGGTAGTTTGTTGATTCTGTGAATACCTTGTGGTTATCCATCTTTGATTTAGCTGAAACACGGACACAGCTCAAAGGTACTATGAGGGCCTATGTTCAATCCTAGCACCACGAAAAAGGAAAAAAGAAATTTTTGTGGCATACAATTTTAACACCATTTTCAAAAAATAGGTTCATAAATCAGCCCAAAATGGATCTGAAGTGAAATCCTCCACATTTCTTGAAGCTCTTCTATAAAAGGCTATAAACTTTTGCTTCCTCTTCTCTCCTTCATTTGTCTTCTAGTCTTTCTAGAGGGACTAGTGACCTTCCACATGACCAAGAACATTAGAGTCTGAAGCAAACGGTCCATTTAAAAAGCAAATTCTGCTAACATGAAGGAAGCGCGGGGGGGGGGGGGGGGTGTTGTCACTGAAGATAAAGGTTGTAATAAAACTACTCTTCAAAAGCACAAACTTGAGACACTCAATTCCTTCATGCTAATTACGTTACGCAGAGCTGCCTACACAGGCACATGTATAAATCAGGTCATCATGTGGTTCTTTCTAGCTGTGAGACTAGTTATGCTCCTGAGGCTGCCAACTGCCAGGTGACTGAAAGCGAGACTAATGGTATTAAGTATAAATACCTACCTGTTTATACTATAATGTGTACCACTACCTTAGACACTCTCCTTCCCTTTCTCTTTTCTTTAGTATCTTATTCAGATGCTCTTACTGAACTGCTTGTTTCAAACCTCTCTTCTGTTATCATTGAGCTTAAATAGCTTGACACAGTTATGATCTCAAAAGCAGAGAATTACTGAAAAACAATTTTAAAAGCCAACTTTAAAATGTGCTTTTCTTCTAGGCTGGCTGCTACATTCCTATAATCCCAGCTACTTGGAAGGCTGAGGCAGAAATCACAAGTTCGAGGCCAGGATAGACAATTTAGTGAGACCTTGTCTCAGAGTAAAAGTGAAAAACCAAAAATGGTACTTAATGAAAAGTACCATAAACAATTATTTTAGATTTTTTAGTCATAGTTTATATAAAAAAGAAATAATATACATCTTTGAATGCTTGAAATTGAAACCTTTAAAATATATATTCTTCCTAAATTCTTTGTCAGCAACAGTTCCAGGACAAAGAGAATAACATAATTAAATACAAGCACAGTACAACTGCCCAGAATTAAAAGAGCAATTGAAGATCATTTTATACTTATTCACTGTGATAATACACAAATTAGTGAAGAGCAATATATCAAATGCAGCAAATACAATGTGTTACTAAAGAAGTATCTGATTTCTTTTTTTAATTTGAAAATAAAATGATAGGAAATTAACAATGCTTATTATACTGCATATTGTTATCTTCAAAGTACTTGCTCAGATTACCAGATAGTATGTAACTTCTGTCTCTTGCAGTTTTTACAACACAAACAACTACCTTACCTCAATTTCAGGAGATCTGGGAAGAGTGATGATGTACACTTATTAGTTTAAAATATTAAAATTATTTAAAAAGACTGTAAGATATCGGGGGAGAAATGTCAAATCTTCCAAACCTCCCGTCTGTTTCTCCTCCCCACTACCCCTACAATGTAATGCAGTAAGCAGCCCTTTTTTAAAGCACACATGTAGGTGTCGAGACAAAACAAGTATGGTGTTTATCTGTTAGGAATGAAATAATGGCATCTCTGGGACTGGTATATCAAATCCTCCTTTCTTTGCCTATCACTCTGGCTTTGAGTACCTTGGGGGTAGGAAGTAGGTAGGAGGATGGAACATTTAAAACACTATCAGTATTCAGGGAAAGTATTCAAGTTATGTGAACAAACTATATGCATCTCTACCCACTTCTGAAATACTGCTGACTAGATTTTTTTCATTTGGAATTTGAATAAATATAATGAAAACTTACTATTTTGAGCCAAGGCTTGAAGCAGACAATCCAAGCATCCTTCCAAACTACCCTCAGTCCTGTCAACAGCTGTTATCTTCAATTTCTTTAAGGTATCACTGAGATTATCTGTTTATAAAAAAAATACAGATAAGCAACTTACCAACTTTATGACGATCATGTTACAGTGAAAGGATAAACAGTTACCACCAACATGTAAAAGGTTCCCATTATATTTTATCTCCACATACCTTCCAAATGGCACTGGAGTGCACTATAACAAGTTTTTAAAATTGTCCATTTAACTCCATGTGAGTCACTCTATAAATAATTATGGTACCTAGGATATTCCAGAATATCATTGAACACCTTTTTTAGTATTCCTATAGTAAAAGAGCCACTTGGGGAAAAAAAGGAATCAGTATCTGAACATTATGTATGCATGTCCTTACTCGACACTGCGGATTGAGCCCAGGGCCTTCACCTTTAGCCACAACCATATTCCTTATTTTTTGAGACAAGTTCTTGCAAAAAACCAAAAAAATTAATACTATCTGCAAAGCTGTATGACTGTTTTATAGACATTTAGTTTTTCTCAACTGTACTTGGTTTTTGAACAAGTACAGTGAGATAGAAGAATATTAACATAGTATACCTATAATCCCAACACTCTGGAATGCTGAATCAAAGACCCCAAGTTCAAACCCAAGCCTGCGCAACTTTGCAAGAACCTGTCACTGTCATAGTAAAGTAGATGTTAGGTAGTAAATTCTGAAATTCTTTATGCTACTCATAGCAGCACATTTTTCAGTCTATCTTCTTCACAGTATCATTCAGAAATGGAAGCTTTATTTTCAATGTTATTGATCCAAAATATTACTTTTTAAAATGTTAGTTAATCCTATCACTTTACTATATGCTAATAAATACACAGACGGTAGATGGATAGATATGTGTTTGTTATCTTTGGAAAACTATACTATTATTGATGATAAAAAGAGCAACTACATGACAAGAACTACAAAGCTGTAGAAATTTAAAACTACCTCTCTTCAAATATCACTCAACATTTTTCTGTAAATGTATACTCACTCACTAACATTAATACACTTTAAAAAGAGATTAACGATTTCTTACCACTCAGTAAAATTTTCACATAACTCATAAGAAAGCTTTACTACCATTACTACTCAAATGTAAAAGAAAAATTATTTCTGGGCTGGGATGTACTCAGTGGGAGAGCACTTAACTAGCATGCACATTGCCCTTAGTTCAATCTACAGCACTGCAAAAAAACCCCACAAAAATCCATACTGGTATGGTTTTCAAGCATGTAGAATGTAACAAATGCATGAATGAATTTCAAAATTTATCTCAAAATGAATGGCATTAAATCAATTTGTAGAACCTGGTTTAAAAGAAATACAAATAACAACCCTTCCTGAATATTGTATTTCACTTAACTAAAGGCTTAATAACTGACAGAAAGAAGTTAGCTTAAAAGTAAATGTTCGGTGAAATACTTTTTGTTAGCATGCCAAGTGGAAAGTACTGTATTTAAAAATTTTGGTAGAAACCAGGCATGCTGGCATACGCCTGTAATCCCAGCACTCAGGAGGCTGAGGCAGGAGGATTGCCACAAGATCAAGGCCAACCTGGGCTACACAGCAAGTTCAAGGCCAGCCTGAATTGCAGAACAAGACCTTATCTCAAAAGAAAAAAGTCTTTTCAATTTTCTACTTTGTAACTTAGTTTTCTGTATCATTTTTGTTGAAAATAGGTTTACAGAGTTGGACTTGCGCAAATCTGAAACCCAAAACTTTAATGAATTAGCCTAATTCATCTTCCATTAAGCTATCATACATATGAGTGAAAAATATTCTTTGTTTTCTTTTAATGAATTTTTGCTAGGTGAGCAACTCAAAGACCAACAAAGGATTTAACTCTCCTTTGGTTATTACATCCTCCCCCTCTTTGAAAACAAATCTCAAATTCTCTTATTTTCCCTATAATGCCAGAGAGTAGATGAAAACTGTTTCTGAGTTTTATCAAACTTTAGCCCACCTTCTCAACTTCTCCCTATCCAGACTGGACTCTCAGGAATATATTCTTCCCAGAGCATACCACTACCCTGTCACAAATCTTGAGTGGTTTACTATTCATTCCCAAAGGTCCAGAATACTCTGTATACAAAAGCCTCAACTGATACTATACCTTCAATCTCTTACTATTTAGTCACACAGCATTATGTATGCCATTCCCACCAGACAAATGGTTTCTCAGGCATACCCTATTTTTAAAGCTGGGCAAATTAAATTCTTCTGTCTGCTGGGCATGGTGGCCCACACCTATAATCCCAGCACTTAGGAGGCTGAGGCAGGAGGACTGCCATGAGTTCAAGGTCAGCCTGGGCTACACAGTGAGACCCTGTCTCAAATAACTAATCAAATAAATAAATTCATTCCTCTTGTCTAAAATATCTTTGTGCACCGATAGGTGCATTTTCCACCTATCAAATGGCTATTCACTCTACAGTATCAACTGATAAACACCAATTCCGACATGCAACCCTTTTTATTGTTGCAGCCAGACCAACCCCTTCCTTTTCTCAGGCTCCTGTATGTTTGTACTTTGATTATGGCATTGATTGCACTGTTTTCTACACAATGCTTATACTGAGGTCAAGTTCTACTATAACCACACAGGTCTAAGGACAAGTAGCATGCCCTAGACACTGAAAATACAGCTTCAGGAGTCAGCCCATTTAAGCATAGGTCCTGGTTCCACATTTTACCTATATTAAGGTGGGCTAGCTTTTGTCTTCTCAGATAAAATGCAAATGACAATATCTTTTCATCAGGTTGTTTTGAGGATTAAATGAGGTACTATACACATGTTTTTATACAGGCTGTACTACACAAAGTAACCAATCAACCAGTATTGACGACTGTTGGTATAGTAACTCTATACCACTCTATTACTGACTACATTATGTTGGCTTCCATACAATAGGCATTCAATGAAGGAGTGCTGAATTAAATGGTAAACAAAATACGTAAATTTAGGTATAAACCATAAATACGATGTTTCTAATTTTCTCAAAGCTGTATCATTTGTTTATATACAAATCATAATTTAAATGTCTAAATGTGGTATATCCTTTTTCCCTCTCTGCTTTGGTCTTTTTCCTAGCCCTCTTCTCTTTACCTTCATTAACCACTCACATCTCCATGAACTAGTATTTTTTCAGTTTTCTTATTTTTCTTCTTTTCTTAATCACAAAGAAACATTCAGAAAGTTTGGAGAGCTTTTGGTATTACATTTTTGTCTATCTTTTTTCACTCCACAATAATTCCTATAAATTACTCCAACTCAATCTGTGTAGCTCCAACTCATTCTTTTAAATAAGGACATCACATTCCTTGGTTGGAGAGTACATGATATATTCAGTCATTCCTATATATATACAGGTTTTCACTTTTTGTTGCATTCTGTTTTGGTCATTGGTAAGTACAGTAAAATGAACATCTTTGTACATGTACACAGAACTTTTAGTTTTACATAACAGTTTTCCCAAGAATGGGTCTGCTGGATCTATGTATTTGTAATCTTTAATTCTGCCTAATACCTTTCCAAACAAGACTGAAGGATTTCACTTTCCTTTCAGCTATGTAGTGGAAGTGTTTATTTTCTAGTATCTTGGTTGACAATAAATAATAAATTCTTTTTTTTTATTTTAAAAATAAAAGGAGGAAAACATTAACAGACAACCTTTTACAAAATAGCAAAAGAACAGTACAGACAATACACAGTTACAAACAAAGTGGTAGGAAATTAACAATGCTTGCTGTATTACTATTGGTATCTTCAAAGTGGTTTCTCATGAAAAAAGATAGAGACATGCAATATTGATCAATCAAGGACTCATTGAGTTTCTTTCAGCAACGAAATAGAAGACAGTAGAACATCTACGTTAACTATCCTGTACATACACACATACAAAATTTCTCCTTCTTTCCCTTCTCGTTTCCCACATCCCAGTTTCCCTTTACCCTTGAGTGTTTTCCTATCATTTCACAATGTCTATCATACCTCCTAGTTTAAATTAACTCTTTCATGTTTTACAATAGTGAAACAATGTGGTGTTTGCACATGCAGGTCTGATTAATTCGTGACAGTCTAACAGTATTTTGTATCTAAATTTTTTAAGACTTCCAATACTTTCATCACTGCAAATGTCAGCATCTTTTGTATTTGCTGGCAGTTGGATCTGCTTTCCTGTAAAGTGTTTATGCACACCCTTTGCCAAGTGCTCAAATAAGGCTGCCTTGTACTTATTGTACAGTACAGACATCAACTTTGTCTCTCAACAGAATTTTCTTTCCTAAAATTTGTTAATAATCTATCAGCTTCATTTATGTTCTCTCTACCACTATCAATTTTCTTTTATAGCATCTAGATTTCCAGCTGCAGTTAAGTAAATCTCTTGGGCTCCCAGAAAATAATTTCATTACCTTCTAACGCTATGATTCTTTTCAAGTCTTTAATTTACTGGAATTCATTTTTACATATGGCCTAAGATTGGAATTTACTTTTTTCATATGTTAGGAGTCTGTAATATTCCATCTTTTCTCCCATTGACTTTAAGTTATTATCACTGTCTCATATTCAGAAATTTCTGAAGTCTCTTTTTTCCAATAGTCATCATCTATTCAAATATCATATTGGTATAATTACCTTGGCTCTATCTCATATTCTGGTATCTGGTAAGATTTGTCCTAACACCAGTATTTCTCAGCTATTCAGATTTTTTCTTCTATAAGATCTTTAAATTATCTAATCACTTCAGAGTAAAGGAATGAATGAATGACAGATTTTAAAATGCACAAAAAGTGAGAAAATGGATTAAAAAACCAAATTTATAAATAAATTTCATTAAATTTATATTTTAACTTTGGGATCATTTTCATTTGTATTCTACTACACGTACATATTTACTTCCTTCTACCACATGTAATTTTGTCCAGATCTTCAATACTATCTATTATATAGAACCTGTGACTTTGTTATATTTATTTCAATACATTTTAGAATTTTGTCATTGGTGAGAATTAAATGATTTCCCCATT